AGATAGAGAAAGAGATAGAACAAGAACAAGGTGTTAGTACTGACACAGGTGTCGGTCTCTCAGTGGAAAAATGCATGTCTTTGAGGCTGCTACAGTTTAATCAACTGTATAGATTAGGACCAAAATGAGTGCTGAAGTGAGTGAAGTGAGAAGGAACAAGAGGCTGCATCACTGTTAGTCACAAACAGAAAGAAGCAGTGCTGGGGCCAAAGCAGATGCACCCCATCTGCTGTCCAGGAGCAGGGAAACCTGCAACCAGACTGTTACGCAATGTGTGTCGTGCACAGTTTGCTTCAGATCTTGGGTGTTCCCCTGATGGATCCTTAAGAAGCAGAAGTCCTCCTCGAGGGGTCATCAGCTGAAGACACATCTTGCTACAATTTTCTGCATGTCGAGTAGAATCACAGTTTTGGCTTTGAGACCCACTCACTGCATCTATTTCATTCCATTGTGATAGGATTTTGTGACAGTATATAATCCTCATTCTTCAATGTTAATTAAACCATCACTTACTGAACAAGTAGATCTTTCCTTTTAACTGGTAGCTTCTCTATGCCAGGCATTTGAAAATTTACTAGTTTTGTTAAAATTGGAGAGTTTCCTTTATCCTAAATGTTATTAGATTTTAAAATAGGAATATCATGGTTTTGGAAAAGCTCTGCCTCTGTCATCAAATTTATTTCCAATCAAGGCAAGAAAAAAAAAATGCACCTGCCTTGAATATCTATTTCTAGGCTTGTTTGTCTTTAGGTCACAGAGCTCTCCTAGATCACGTAGGTGTATTAGTGTTAACTGCATTGTAACTTTCCAAAACCGGTAATATTTCTACTTGTAAATCAAGTTTCAAAATTCAAAGTTAGCAGCTTTCCTTTTAATAATTGTAATTCACTACCTGCACCTACCTTAAGTTTTACTTTCATTTGCAGTCTCCTGGGTTTTGTTTTTGTTGTTTACTTTATTTTATTTTTGAGACAGGGTCTAGCTATGTAGCCCAGGCTGGCCTTGAATTTGTGGTGCTTGTGTGCAGGGATTATGAATGTGCACTACCATCTCCAGATGCAGTCTCCTTTATAGAGACTCTAGCTTGGTATTTCAAGTCTTCTAAACAGTAAAATTAACTGTACTGAAGTCCCATTAATTACAGGAAATCAATGTACTGGAATCCCATTCATTACAATAAAGTAATTCAGCTGAATTGCTTTATTGTAATTAATGGGATTCTAGTACAGTTAACATTTAATGGGAAATCTGTATCTAAATCACACATTTAAGAGACACTCTGCAGCCAGTTAGATCTCCAAATACCTTCCCACCTTTTGGTCACTTAAAATGAGTGCAGTGGAACTGCTGTAAGATTGCTTTGAAGTAGCATCAGCTTCTACTTTTGTATCTTAGCAATGGACTGAGCTTGCTGTTCTGTCTCTGACATTTTTTTGTTTTTCATTTATGTATTTGGTATGGGGTCTCACTACGCAGCTCAGACTCGTGGTGATCCTCCTGCTTTCAGCCTCCCCAGCACTGGCATTACAGGCGTGTGCCACCATGCCTGGACTCGGTCGCCGGCTCAGCATGCCCTGGGGGCGGGTCCGGCATGGCATGCGGGAGCAGGGCTCAAACTGGTCCCTGCACTTACCTAAGAGGCGCTTAGTCCACTGAGCTATCTTGCCGGCCCTATCTCTGACATTTATAATTAAACAAGTGGACTCTTTTCTGCGTCTTGTTTTTGTTAATAGACTCTATGCAGAAGTGCATGGCACTCCATATTTCTCACCTGTTGTTACAGAATGCTATTTTAGGATCCTGCCATGCTTGTTCACAGCCTTAATCTCTTACTGCTGGGGCAAGGTTAAGTTTCTGTCTGCTGTGCCTCATCACTGCTGCCTTTCTGCACTAATAAAGTAGGCATAATGTTTTCCTGGAGAGGGGAGCCTTTACTCATTAAAGCTTCTAATGACTTTTATGGTTATTTCTTTGTTACTAATCTATGGACCCAATTAATCAACCATCTTTCAGCTGGACCTATACTTGCTTAGACCTTCTGGACCTCATACAGAGCAAACAGACTGGAACAAACTTTTCTCTTCAAAGAATTAGTTTACAGAAAGCTACAGAAAAACAATCCTTCTATGTGGATGTACTATACATCGGACAGGTATCTACAACCTCCACGCTGGATGGTATGTTGTATCATTCTATGTCCCCTGAAGTCCTATACATTTGTCTTATAGTAAAACTTACCATGGAAATTATTCTTATATTCTATAGTACAGACAGAACCATTAATCTCTAAATGTTAATGACTTATTCCTTCATCTCAATAATATTATGACTTAGTTTTATGTTTTAACAAATAGGACAAGATCATTATTTTAAAATTAAATGTACTCTTAATATAAATTTTCTGATTATAGTAAGAATTAGCTTTATAGTTCTAGGTTTTGCTTCTTGATAGATACACTGCGGCTTTATCATTCTGTCTGTTTTGTCTTTGAGAAACCCACTATCAAGAGGGACGTCCATTCTTAAGATGCAATTCTTGACATGAGTAATAAGATTATTCAAAAACTTCCCAGACATAATTCTATGAATGAAAAGCTTACTTTTGATTGTCTGACAATTGTTTATCTAGTTATGTTCATAAACTCCTACATCTGAGATGTGACAATAAAATAATAAAAATCAACAATGCAATCTTATTTCTCATTTACTTTATTTATATACCTAGAAATGGCCAAGAGAAGACTTCCAGCATTAGCGAATAAAGGAATATTCTTAAAGCACTTTCAAGTGAATGAAAGCAAAAGAGATGAATCTTCCATGACAATCCAATATTCTGTCACCATGATGTCATATAATTGCAGTCACAACATACCCAAGCTGGCTGTGAGCTTTGGACAGGTAATCTTAGAGTTTTCTAAGTTTTTACATTTAAATGAATGAGCAATAGTTTTGTAATGGTAAATTTTACTAATTTTTGAAAATAGCTAATATACAGATTGTATATCTTTTAATAGACTAAGACAATTATTTTGAAGATAAATGATGATCTAGAGTCCTGAGCACAAAAATTGACTTAAAAGCATTACAATAGCTCTTTGAGGAAATATTATTAAGAAAGAAAGTCAGATTTACATAGAATATGTCCTGTTGCAGTAAAAGGAAAAGCTGTGGACTCCTGTCATACATATCTTTAAATAGAAATTACAATACTGAAAGAAAAGTTGAGATTCTACATTATGTTTTAAAATGGGTATCTGTTGTAAGTAAAATCTAATCTCCTTTCATTAAAATTTTTGACAAAAAGGGAAGGTGATATTTTCCATATTGCCAAAAGACTCCAAATAATCTTCTGCTGTTTGAGTTATTTATAAGACCAGCATTGGATACTGCAAATATAATGAACATTTTAAAATTTAATTTTCTTTAAAAATGAGTTAATGTCTTTTCTGCCACAAATTATAAACAAAACTTTTTATATCATTAACTTCATTTCTTTTTAATTAAAACATGGGGGAGGGTGTCCAAGCTTAACAAAATAACATTTATTTCAACAAAGTAACAATCAAAATGTAAAATGGCTATAAATATTAATAAGCTCAAAATTCAAGATTTTTCCTTTCCTCCGTTTGTTACTGTATGTTTGTGAAATGTAATAAGTTCACTCAGCATGGGGAGCCAGCACATACGCATATCCAGCCTCAATCCTCCTTGAACATCATATCTAGAAACACAGAAAACTTTTGCTCACTAAAAAAAACTTTGTTATTTAAGGTAATGAAAGACTATGAATATTACACAAACATTACTTTTATCCTTGGTGCTCTGATGTTTTAGTCTTACTAACTTTAAGAAAAATATCTTAAGGGGCAGCCAGGGGGCCTGCCCCTTAGCTCAGTTCTTTAAGTAGCTGATTCAACAAAGCAGTCAGGCTCAGGTTGCTGTGGTTGGATCCCCACAACTCAAGCCAGCCAAACCTGCCCTGAAGGCATTTGGAGCAAAAAAAAAAAAGGCGGGGGAGGGGGCAGCCAGATATGTCAGCAGGCTAAGCACCTGCTTAGGCAAGCACAGAGACCAGGATTTGATTTCCCCAGCACCACATGCCACGCTGGCCCTGCCCCCAGGCACGCTGAGGCAGCAACTGAGATGCGCGCCTATAATCCCAGCTGAGTCCAATCTGTGTAGTGAGACCCTGTAAAAAAGATAAATATTTAGAAATGTTTTCCAATCTTTTACCCTTAGCTTTATTCCAAGATGTATTAACTTGGGGTTTTGTGTTCTCAAAGCATCTCTGTCACCTCTCATTTTTTAAAAAAGATTTCTCATGAAACTAACAATAGGCAATTGCAACTTTTAACTTTAGTTATTTATCCCATGCTAAATTGGAAAATATAAGACTTAATTTTGTGTCCCTTTAAAAATTTTTCGCATGAAAGCTAAGTGGAGTACTATTCAGTGTTTCAATGTATAGAACCAGGAATTGTGATTTTGGGTAGTTATAGATTCACATTCACTTGTTAAAAAAAAATAATACAGAGATATCCTCTGTCATTGATCACTTTGTCTCAATGGGAACTGCTTGTACAGTATGGAAGAACGCCACAACTAGGGCACAGATACAAGATACCCAAGTCCCTATTCAGATTTTATCACTTTTATGTGCATCATCCTCTCTCTCTCTCTCTCTCTCTCTCTCTCTCTCTCTCTCTCTCTCTCTTTCTGTGTAGTTCTACACAATTTTATCACAAGTGTCCATTCATCTACCTGACACCAGAGCAGTCCCATCTCACACATCCCTCATTCTCTCCTTTTGTAGGCAAGCCATTTCCCTCACTAAGTCCCTACTCACAAATCTGTTCTGTTTGTATAATCTGTCACTCTAACAATGCTATATAGATAACATCAGAACTTATTTAAGCAGATTGATGCTTATCCTTTTGAGGTTGGTTCATGTCACTCAGCATAGTTCTTTTGAGGTATAACCAAGATGTGTCTTAAACCAGTTAGCTTTGGCTGCTAGCACTATTTAATGATACAGATGCACGAGTACATTGAGCTACCTACCCACTGAAGAGCATTTGAATTGTTTTCTGTTTGGGGCTATTTTGAATAAAAGCTGCTATGAACATTCATTTATAGGTTTTTGAATGACACTCTTTCATTTAAGGGAGTTATATGGCCAACAATGCAATTATAGGATCATATAGTAAGAACATGTATCATTCTATAAGAAAATATGATGTTATTCTTCAAAATAACTTTACTACTTTACATTCCCGCCAGCAACGTATGAACGATTCAGCTTCTATGCACTTTTTTTTTCCATTTTAGTCACTCTGATAGGTTCGGTAACAATAACTCATTGCAATTTTCATTTGCATCTGTCATGGCTGTGAGGTTGAACATCATTTTAGGAGCTTATCTGTCACTCAGATATCTTCTGTGAATGTCTTCTGTCCAATTTCTAATTGTATTTTTTAATCATTGAATTTTAAAAGCTCTTCATGTATTCTACATGCAAATTCTTTATCAGGTGTATGATTAACAAATATTTTCTTCAAAACAGTGCCTTGCCTTATCATTTTGTTAGGTTTTTTTTTTTACAGAAAAAACAAAAGGTTTGGAATCCAATTTGATTTTTCTTCTTTATGAGTGGTATGTTTCGCTTCAAGTCTAAGAATTCTTCTTAGCCCTAAGTCTTAGATGTTTTCATTTTTTTCACTAAAAATATTGTGGATTTAAAATTACGCTTTTTAGGCCACATAATGCTTTGTGTTAATTTGGTAAATGCGTTTTTAGGATAAGGTTCATTTGCTTGGTTGTGGACCTTGTTGCATTAGCATTACTTATTGAAAACATTATCGTTCCTATATTGAATTACTCTTATATTTTTGTGAAAAATCAATGGAACTTTTAGTGTGGTTATACTTCTGGGTTATCTGTTCTTTTTGTTTGTTTTTGTTTTGTTTTGGCAGAACTGGGGATTGAACTCAGACCCTAGCACTTCCCAGGGAAGCACTTATTCTACTGAGCTATCTCCCCAGCCCCGAGGTTATCTATTCTTTTCCATTTCCTATATGGTGATCCTTCCACCAACACCAAAGTACTTTCACCATATAACTATGGAGAAACCCTTAACATTGAGGAGGGGGACTCTCATTTATTCTTTTTGTGTAACATTCTTTGGCTCCTGTGATTTTCATGTCAATTTTAGAATAAGCTTATTTATGTCTACAATAAATTTGCTGATATTTTAATAAGATTCAAGTAGATTGGCTTGAGAAATTATGGCACCTTTGCTATGTGGCATCTTTTAACCCATGAACACAATTCATGTGCACACAGTATGCCTCCATTTACTTGGATCTTGTTTCAAAAATCAACAGAATTTTAGAATTTTCAGATCAATTCCCAAACATATGTGTTAGATTTCATTTTCATTCAGATATTTGAAAATCACCTTGTGTTTTTAATTTTAGATTCTACATCTTTATTATCTGTATTTAGAAATGTGATTTTTTTGTGTATTGATCATGTAAGCTGAACTCAGTGAATTTTTACAAAGTAAACACACTCATTTAATCAATATCCAGTTTAGAGTAAAGGAAATCATTTGCTCCCTGGTAGCTTTCTCTGTATCTTCTCTTTGACAGTAGACAACTAATCTCGCACAACCAAGTCAACTACAATAAATTAGATTTACTTATGTTAAACTTCCCATCAGTGGAATTATAAAATGTATTTTTTTGGTCTGGCATTTTTACGGAACCTTAAGAGAATCTTATTGTTACATGTAGTTCATTTTTTTTCATTGATAGACATTATTTCCTGATATAAAAGCGCCATAATTTCTTTACTCTGTGGATGGACTTTCGTGTTATTTTACCTTTGAGGTTATTATGAGTAAAGCTGATGTGAACATTCTTGAATATGCCTTCTAGCACTATGTTTCCTCATTTCTGCCTCATTTTAACTTCTACAGTGTTAACAGATGACTCTAAGCGATCAGCAGTGGGAAGTACCATTTTCATTGTTAGAAGTACAATCTGAATTTCTACAGCACTTTTGTTCCCTTCAGTTGATTGTGACTCAGTATTATGAAAGTATTTAGTGAGGTCAGGCCCGCTGCTCTACTGACCACATACTTACTTAATTTTTGGTTATCTCCCCACATCATAGTTCTCCAAAAGATTTTTAGTTTTCCAAAGACCAAGATTGCATCTCACGTTTCTTTGCCTCCCCACAGTGATGAGTTTTGTACTTTGTCTGCTCGATAAATATTTGCTCCTTGAGTGATGGAGGGCATATTCTGAATTAATGAGGTATTGTGTGGTTCCAGCTGATTGCTGCACAGATGACTGAGTTGACTTTGGCCTCATTATTGCAGCCATATAGGCCCGGCCTGTGTTGATTTATGTGACTCTTCTTAATGTTCTGAAGAATCATGAATGCATGAGGCTCATTTATGTCATGTCACAGGATTGTACCACAGTGCAACAGAAATCATGTTAGCCATTGTTCAGTTTAATGATTTTATCAATATTTATTTTGGAAATTAGATAATCGCAAGCGAGACAGAAAATGAGTCTGTTTACAGAGGAAGTAATTGGCCAGGAGAGTCAAAGATTCGCATTCAAAGAATTCAAGCAGCTTCACCCCCTATAAGTGGCAGCTTTGACATTCAAGCTCATGGGCGTGTTCTCAAAGGTAAATGAGAGATGTTCAAAACGTGGATACAACACACATGCATGCATAGTCTATAAAGGTTAAATGTTGTTTCACTTGAGAATTACTACTTGTTTTAACATTGATTTGTCTAGTCACTCAGGTATGTAGATAATACATACTGTGTTATGGCCAAATTATAATGTTTTAGGTTTACACTTTTACTGAAGTAAAAAAAAAACTATTCACCCACCCAAAGCCAATGACATTAACAGTGATTATTTTTATTTAGAAGTAATGTGTAGAAGTCTGTAAAAATATAATAGATTGTTTATATTCATTTTGCTGAAGATGGTTGAAATTATGACTTTCATAAATCATGCCTTTATCTAATAGGTATGTTTTGGAAAAACAAAACTGTAGTAGCTAGGAACAACAATGATAATATTACAATATTAAAGAAATTGACAATTGGAATACTATTAAAGTTTTAACAACTTTAATTGGACCATTTAGTCCTGTACAGTCTACATGTGTCCACTGACATTTGGAATTTAATAAGTGCCACATAGTGAAATACATAACATTGATGTATCTTTCAATATTGCATTCAAAATAACACTTGCAATTATTTCTTTATAAAATGTATTATTAAAATCATTTTGCTTGCTTATTTTTACTTTTTAAAATATTGTTACTACTACTTCTGGAACACTTTTAAATTATGCATGAGGTCACAGTATCAGTTGGACAGTGCTGATCTGGACAATCACTACAGACATTTTGGTGTACTGTCTAATAGTATTTCTGTGCCTAACTTAAATAGATCTCTATAGAGCTTATATATGATTTGTAAAGATTATGTCAGTAATATAAAAGTAAACTACCTAGTACAAATGACACTTTCATAATTTTTTCACATCTCAACCAAGTGTATGGGGTTCTAGTCCCAAAAGTTTGTTCTTTGTGTATGTTCATAAATTATTAGTCATCAATAAAGTGAATTGACATTAAAAATAAAAGCTTTTGAGCCATTGCCATGGTTTGAGATAAATTACTAATGTAATTTTTCTCTCCCAAAAATGTATAAACTCTTCACATAAATAAGGTAGGAAATTAATTCTCACTGTAGGGAAGGACATGTAGCTTACAAGTGACATGGCTCGTGTACTCTGAAAAGGAAGTCTGCCTACTGACTTTGACTTCTGCTGCTTGCTCTCCCTCTGTGACCGCAGGCATCCCCGCTGCTGCATCAGCTGCAGAAGTGCAGTTTGCGCTCCAGAGCCTGGAGGAGGTGGGGCGAGTCACAGTGACGCGAGAGGGAACCTGTGCTGGGTACTCCTGGGGCATCACATGGCGAAGCGTGTGTGGAAGGCAGAATCTACTCCAGGTTCCCGCAGATGGCTTGGCTTTCCCTTTGTGTGCTGTTTGCTTTTTTGTACTCTGCCCCTTTCTAAGAAGAGTTGGAGACTATGAATTTTTTAAAAATTCAAACTTTAGATTGAAAATATTTTTAAACAGTTTGAACAGAAAATTGTCCTACACTAGGTTGACTAGGTGTTCTCTTTTATGGAGAACAATGTTTGGTATGTTATTTTCTGGCCCACATGGAAGTCAGGTAATGTGTGTGGTAGAGGCCTCCCAGAGAGAAGCAGGAAGAATATAAGCTGGGGGAGTCTCTGAACAAAATCCAGGTGTACTGTAAGGAGGGGCCAGGAAAAATCACCCTTAATGTCTTTAACTCTAACAATAGAACTGTATTCTGTGGCTTTGGGTTCTTTTTTGTAATTAGAAAGGTGACTTTTCCAAGTTCATGAGGATCACACACCCAGAGACCTCATTTAGTGGCCATTGCTTATTTATAGTGGAGGAAGACTTATCCCCAGAGTATACGAAGAAATTAGTCTAGACACAGACAAAAGGTGCATAAAAGTGTGGGAAACACTTCTTCCCTATGCACTGTTGATGAGAAGATAAATTAGTACCTTTTCCTGACTATATTGTAGTATCTGAATATCGATACTGCTTTATGATTCAGCAGCCTTATTCTCTGTCCTACTGAAAGAATAATACAGATGTAAAATGATGTGGGCATAGAAGGTAGTCACTACAGCATTATTTTTACTAGTAAAAGCCTAGAAACTTAAATCTCAACAATACTAGAATGGTTGTTGTGACAAATGCATAAGTCCACATATATTTACCTGGGTAAACAGCCATGACACAGGTAGAAAGTGCATAGAACTGTATTTATGAAATCATTGGTAGGGAAGGAAAGGTAGGAAAGTAGGAGGCAAAAAAAAAATGTATGTAAACACAGAACAAAATTCTACAGGAATGTGCAAGAGAGTAACAGTCTCACAGAAGTGAGGGTTGTTTTAAGAAGATACATGGCCAGGAACTAGAATTAGAAAATTCCAGAACTGATACAACTCCCATGACTGGCCTCCACCCTCTTATCACTGCTGGTCTCTGCACGCCCACTCTCTTCACTCTTTATTGCTCAATCTCCTCTGTTCACCATTTCTTTTCTTCAGTGCTTTGGCTCGTGTGTGGGTCAGCATGGAGACTATTTCTTTGCTAGCCTCTGTATCTGTCAGAATGTTGCCATACTGGGCAAGAGATTTTCGAATGACCAGATTGTATATGCTGGCTTGATCAGGTTTTATTTTAACCACACAGAGAAAAAATAACTCAGGGAGTGGATGAAAAACTAGAGTAATCAGAGGTATAAAATGATAAAAGAGAAAGTTGAATATTAGATAGAAAGCTCTATTTTCAGTTATTCAACAAGAATTTATCCAAGTGGCCCTATTCAACTAAAGGATAAAAAGTTTTAAGATGATCAAATTGAATAACATATTTTCTTTAGACTTATTAATTCTGACATTTCAAGAAAAACTTGAGTGGTTGTACTTATCATTGCCATTCTAGTAAAATCTTTTTGTGTAAAAATAGATTAATGATTCCAAAATTATTGGAGAAAAGGCTAATGTGACCGTTACAAAGATAAAGGAAGGTGGCTTATTCAGACAACACATACTTGGAGACCTACTTCGCACTCCCCATCAACAGCCCCAGGTATTTTTGAAATTTTTCTCATACTGTGTAACTTAATTTTAAATATATAACTAAGTTGTAATACAGTAAAGCATGGTAGAACTGAAAGATGACTTGTCTATTTTTGCATGAATATTTGTTAAAAGTTGATCAACCAAAAAATATTACTTTATGGCTTTTGGGAAAATTATATTCCTTATGATAAAGTAATGAGATAGCTGTTTGAACAATTAAATGCCAGTATCTTGTACTCTAAGTAACTAATTTAAATATACCAATATGCAATGTATTAATCATTCTTAGCCTCCTGTTACCTTGTATTGAAATTTTGTTTTTCTCTCTTTAAAATAAAATTTACAAAAAGATCAGCTTCTGCCAGAATCAGAAGATGTATTTTTAAATTTAATTTTCGTATAATTATTAATGTCTCCATTCTAGTGAGGAGTAAATTAAAGTATAAATAGTTTAGTAACTTTCCTAAGAGCAACCTCTATTTTCTTGAGAAGCATAATTAGCTCCTGGAGTAACATTCATGCACTTTTTTTCATTTGTGGTTCTTCTTTTTCCTCTATGGTTTTACTGCTTCTCTTCTGGAATACAAGTTGGATGACGGAAGGGTTGCCATCTGTGTTGTTTGATGTTGTGTTTTCTATAACCCCAGCATTCGCAACTGTCCCAGATACACAGTGGACACATTTGTGGAATGAATAAGTGACTACCAGAGTAAAAATATGTAGACTGATTTTTGCAGACCAGCAAGGAGCCATAATTGCGTTTGTTCCAAATCTAAGCATGTTCCATGAACCCTGATACCTCTCTGCCTCTTTCCACCAAACTCCATGCTTCTTTTCCTAAAGGTTGAAGTCTATATCAATGGAATTCCGGCAAAATGTTCAGGTGACTGTAGTTTTACATGGGACCCCACAGCCACTCCCCAGATCTTGGCCATAAGCCCTTCTCAAGGTAACCCTCTGCTTTTTAACTTGGACTATGAGATGGAAGGTAACTAGAAAAATATGAACATTGTAATGATTTTTAAGGGATTTTTTGTGGTATTACCAACGAAGGCAAGCAGGCCATTCTATGAAGTGAAAAAAAAATCTACCATATAAGAATACTTTGGGAAAAGCACTAATTATTTTGGATAAAAATGCCATTGATTCTGAAGTACAGTATTTTTTATTGGTACATTTTAGATGTACATAGTGACCACATTCATCATAGAAAATTTGCACCTGTACAGGATATCACTTGTTTTCTCCCCTATTCTCCTACTATCCCTCCAACTTCTCCTCCTCTCCTCATTTACAAAGGCTTTGTCTCTGTATTTTTCTTCCTTTCTCCTTCTCTCTCTCTTTTAAACTTTTCACTTCTCAAGTACATATATTCTTTGACATGTATCAGTTGCTAATCTTTTAAACTCTGTTTTTCACCAGTTGGAATCAGTCCCTAAAATTTTACTCTGAGTTTGAGGAGTATTTGTTCAATTAAACTAGGGCTTAATTGTAGTCTGGCACCATTGGAGATCACATTTTCTAGGAGATTTGGCATTAAAAGGCTAGTAAGGACAAAGTTCTGTTTAATAAAACATGATGATTAGGTGCTACATTTGAGAATAAGAGAGAAAAATTATTGGCATGTACTCCTCTAGTTCAGGGGACACATTGTACCATTTTTGTTCATAGCATATTATTGCTCAAAAAAAAGTCATCATCTCTTGTGGATTAAAGAGAGCTCCTGGAGATTAAAGTCAACAGCAAGAGTAAGCCTTACAAGGGGTGGTATTCTTCTAATCAAAAAGATAAGCTCAAATACTATGACCATATGTTGAGTGTAGTGGCCAGTAAGAAACTTCACCCACTAGTTATAAATCATCCCATACCCATAAAAAAGCATTGAAGTGTTTAAGTAGTGCTATTATTTTAGGTTGAAAAATATTATGTTCAGATTTTTTGTAGTAATGATAATAACTTTAAGATAATTTGTATTACATTGTGTCAAAAATTTCAGTAATAAGAACTTGATGAGAATTTGGTTATAGGTCTTTGATATCTTTTCTTGCATCTCTCCTTGCATTTTGTAATCAGTGTCAATTTTTAATTGCACCTTGAAAAGATTATTCAAAATAGCTAGCAATCTGAATTGCCTTTCACTGTCATAATCAGTGTAAAAATAATGCAAACTATGAAGAACGGTATAAAAATTTTTCATCCCTGAAAGTTAACAGCTGATAATATTTGTCATGTATACTTCCAGTCATCAATGTGAGAAAGAAAAAAAAAATATTATGGGAAGAGCTAAAGTCTGTTTTAAGCACCACACCTTGGGTCCCCAACAGCTCCCCAGGGACAATCACAAAATAACTAATTTTGTGTGTGTCCTTCCGTGCCATTTTAATATCCTTCGTATATGGCACATATCTATGGTGATTTAGCCATGTTTGAGGCTTATTAATGCTATATTACAATCTAAGTATCTTGTTTCTTTTTCATTAATAACGTGTTTCGTGATACTATAGGTGACTATAGGTATTCCTAACCACTTTAAAGTGCTTTATAAGCATACTGATCTACTTTTTCTTTTCTTAGAAGGCACTTAGATTGTTTACAGGGTTTTTTTGTTTCATAAATAAGACTCTTTTGAGCTTTCTTTATAATCCTTCCATTGCATATAGTCTAGACTGTCTTAAGAGTATGCATCTGGACATGAAATTGCTGGATAATAATTGGCTATTTGTGTATTTAGCTTACTAGGGAACTCAGTAGTCCTCCGGATTTATTCTAGTACCAGTTGGTAGGAGAGTGTCATCTTCCCCATGTCCTTGCTGATATTTGAAATTATCAGTTTCCTAATTATGGCCAAACTGTAAATGAAATTGTCATTGTTTTAATTTATCTTTTCTATGGTTAGCAATACACATAAGAATTGTCTCATATATTTTGTAGACATTTAGATTAGTTTTTCTTCTCAAAATTATTTAACATCTTTCATCTTTTTTATTGGGCTGTCTTTTTAAAATTGACTTGTAACTATTATATATTATTTTTATCAATCGTTTGTATGGTACATATTTTCTACCAGTGTATCGCTTGTATGTTCGTTTTTTTTTGTGGTTCATGGAAACATTTAAATCATTGATTTATGTGTCTTGTATGTTAAGCATAACATTTTAATTTTATTTAAGAAACCCTCATCAACCTTGAGAGATTGGATTATATTTACTTCTAAAATTTTTGAAGTTTTGCTTTTTCTTTCTTAGCTATTTAATTCCACATGGAATTTTTATTCTGTGTGGTGACATATATAGGTAAAATGTATATATGAGTGTAATCAAACCCAGACACTTAAAAGTGAAATGTTCCGACTGAGGAGATAGTTCAGCGGCATAAGCTTTTGCCTGGCAAGTGCAAGGTGCTGAGTTTAATCTATTTTAGGTTTATTGTGTATATCTTTTAGAAGATAAGCTGGTTTTTATCTGAGAAACATTGGATTTCATAGCAGATTCTAATGTTGTTGCTCTAATGTTGTTACCTAAATTTGATCACTTTCAGGGTCCTATGAGGAAAGCACAATTCTAACCATAGTAGGCTCTGGATTCTCTCCCAGCTCAGCTGTATCAGTCTCTGTTGGACCTACTGATTGTTCTCTTCTTTCTGTGGAGGGTAGGTTCTTTGAAAATTTATGATGACTCATTCTTCCCTAAGAGAAAGAGGAGAACTGGCCTGGATAATGCCTTACGTTCTTTATCTATGATTATGACCAAAGACTAATGTTGCATGTTGTATAGTGTATTTTTGTAACAATTAATTGTGTTCCTTCTCTTTTGTCCTTTACAAAGTGATCACCTGAGAACTTTCTTCTGTTTGTCCCTTTGGGACACAAACATGGTGAACATCCTACTTTAGTGTCCCAGTGTTCCTGCTGATGTTTTGACAATGCCACACTAGTCCTGAAACAAAATGATGTGGCCACCTAGTCCAAATGCACCTCTGTCCAATGATGTAAACTTTAAAGAACATTCACATCTATTTCTTGAAATTGGGACAGACATTAACATTGTCTGTCTCTTGAAATGAATTAGTTATTTCTTTCCTACAGTTATATCTCATAATCTTAGGTGTCCTTCTTTTCTTTTGTTTTTTTTCTTTTTTTCAGTACCAGCTATTGAACTCAGGACCTTGAGCTTGCCAGGCAAGCATTTATTCTACTGAGCTATCTCCCCAGCCCCTCGGTGTCTTTCTTAATTTAAATAGATTGGAATTATGTAAGCAAAGCCACATTGCAATGCACTTTTATTATTTACAATTTAAATTCTCTGTGCATTGTTGAGACCAAATAGCCATTATTGTACTTATCAGTAAGTAGTTCTGACAGATCATTCTAAATAAAGTGAAGAAATCATTTAATGTAGTTTTTATTGATAAAACCAATTTTACTCAAATTTAGACATAAACAATAGGTTGGACCAAAAATTTTAGAATTGTGAATATAAATGCATTGAAAATTAGGATTTTAAAAATTATAGCAACATCCTACTTTGCTTTCACTATTGGTTTGTCTGTTTTCTAGGACTGCTTGACTCAGGTAATTAATAAAAAAAACAGGTAGTTTATAAAACTATTTCCCCAGAGATCATCCTTTCCTATTAATGTATAGGTAGTTTTCTTCAGAAGTATGTTAAGTGAATGTTAATATTTACAAATATAAAATTTCAACCAGGGAGATAGCTCAGTGATAGTGCTTGCCTGGCAAGCACAAGGTCCTGAGTTCCATCCCTGGTACCGCCAAAAAGAAAAAAAAAATTCAAGAATTTTGTCTCAACAAACTCATTTGCTTTACCATTTTCTTCTTCTTTTTCATTACAAGAAAATGAGATCAAGTGCCAGATTCTGCACGGAAGTGCTGGGCGTTTACCAGTTGCAGTGTCTGTGGCTGATACTGGACTAGCACAGAGCACAGAGAGCCAGGGATTTCACTTTGTTTATCAGAGTCAAATCGCACACATCTGGCCTGATTCTGGAAGTCTGGCAGGTAATAAGTTGTTAGTGGACAGTTCTTAACTGAGAGAATCGTGTACTTTTCCACATTTCATTGTGCTCTTTTGGGTACAGGGCATAGAGAGAGGAATTCAAGGCTTGCTACCTAAAACAAAGGGGAGTCTCTTTTTAGACAGTATGGTGATTAAATGGCTGGCTAATTCTTTTGTTTCTTACAGAGCACAAATCAGGGTGAATGTTCATACTTACATCTTAGGTTATTGAATTAATATCATCAATTATTACATGTTTCCATAACAAGCTCATTAATTATGTCAAGATAAGATTTATTAGTTATTATTCTGCTTACCAGCTGCTTCATTTGTAACCATTGTCTCAATGGAGCTGCTTGACCCAGAAAAAGTTCTGGGAACTAATCAAGCCAAGGAAGGTTGAGGAAGACGGGGGAGAGAAAATAATACATTTTTCTTGTCCTGTTTTGTGTTTGGTGTCTTTCTTTCTTTCTCTTTCTTTCTTTTTTCTTTATTTCTTTTTTATCATGCTTAGTTTTGCATTTTGTGCTTTGGTTTAAAGTTCTTGGTGTTTGTTGTTAGTTTGTCATATCTTTCCTTAGATTTTATTTTATTAAGAGGTACTAAAACTGGAATCTTTTCTGTCTTAATTCACTTTTACTTCCCACCTAAGGAATGGTAGAAGGAAAAGAAACAGCATTATTTCTCTTGTAGTATGAACAGGAAGAAAGCACTGTGGAAATCGATCTGGCTGTTAATAATGTCCCAAAGCAAATGTGCGTTGTGTATCACTCTTGTTTTTTAGATGTTGTAATTGATCTGCTTTATTTTTTTCTTTTGTTTTTCTTGTAAAGGTGGGACTTTATTGACCCTATCTGGATTTGGCTTTAGTGAAAATTCAACAGTTTTAGTTGAAAATGAAACCTGTAATGTGATTGAAGGCAATTTAAGTAGAATAATCTGCAGAACACCAAAAGTAAGACCTCTGATTTCTGTCATTTGGCCCTACATTTGAAATCTTATAAATTAGGGAACATCTGAGCAGAAGGTTAAGCAAGTGAGACATTTTCTAGAAATTTTAGATTTTCCATTATGCTCTTTAGGATCATTTCTTCAATATCTTTCGGCTCATATTCACAGACAAAAAACCAGCTCCACATTCTACATGCTTAAAATCATGAAAGAAAGACAGATATGTAAACCAATATTAATTAAATAGCACATTCCACTAGAAATGATAGAAATACATAAAAAAAGACAATTTAATATGCCAACAGCACTGGAGGTTGAACAAAATTTTAGCAGATAAAATAAAAGTTGAAAGAAAAAACATGCTACTAAGTAGTCTTAAGAATTTAGGCAGGGGCCGTGGAGATAACTCAGTAGAATAAGCGATTGCCTGGCAAGCCCAAGGTCCTGAGTTCAATCCCCGGTACCACAAAAACAAAAACAAAAACAAAAACTTAGAGCATCTGATCCTTTATCACTTTGGGACCCACTCGTCTAGAGCATTTCAACTACATGGCAGAGCTCTTAAAATGCAGTACTATGGAGCCAATAAATTGATCATACTACCTGCAAGCTACCATATCATAAATCTTTAACTTGAGAAGTACACATTTAGCCTGTATTTGATTACCCACAAGACATCTCCAGAAGTTTATTAAGTCATTTTATTTTCAGACATTGAATTTTCATATTTTGGCATTTAGTATTTTATAATTGTTTTATTTTTTCACTTATTTTAGAGGAGTGAAGGCACAATTGATGTATCAGTCATCACCAATGGATTTCAAGCCACTGCCAGGAATGTTTTCAGATATAATTGCTTGCAGACTCCAGTTATAACAGATTTTAGTCCAAAAATACGGAAAATTCTAGGTAAGTCATTTTCCAATAAAAAAAATCATTTCATATACACAGATGACATGACCTCTGGAAAGTCTTTCAAAGCATAGTTTCTTCTTCAATGTTATTTCTTAAGGTATAATAAGGTTTTTTTTAAAACTAACATTGTTCCATTCATAATTGTATGTTAAAGATGTGCAGTCTGGTGAAAATATTGTCTGCTTAAAAATTAATTTGTCCCATTGCTTTTTTCTTCTGAAACAATTAAACATGAATTTCATTTCATTGCAACCATCAACTCCTGCCATCTTGCCTTTTCCTCAGAAAGTGTTAGGATTTCTTAATTCCAATGAAAGATAAAGCAGTTGGTTTATTCAATACTGAAATTTCTCACTGGATAATAAGTTGAACCTTTTTCATTTTTTTTTTCTTTTAAAATAATAGGAGATGTTAACTTCACAATTAAGGGCTATAACTTTGGAAATGAGCTCACACAGAACATAAAGGTGTATGTTGGCGGGAAATCCTGCCAAATTCTCCACTGGAACCTCACAGATATTAGATGCCTTTTACCATTGCTGTCTCCTGGAAAACATTCTTTCTATGTAGAAGTCGGAAACTGGGGTTTTGCATCAACAAGGTATGGTGATGCCCACAAGCTTCTACTAGGCTATAGAATGGAGAGAGGAAAAGCTAATCGTTCATCTGTGATATATTAATGGTTTCCTTTATTTTTCTGGATCTCTTGTTTGCAAAATATTTCAACAAAATCTTTAAAGATACACTAGGACCCTCTTTTTTTTTTTTTTTTTTCAACCAATACCACTCAGATTAGGTTATAAAATACTCTGCATGACTTAATTTGTGCATAGGTCACACAATTTTCATTCCCTCAGGAAAGACTGATAAAGCGAATTCTAAGGGAAGGGCACTTGCGTATTGCTGCATTCACAGGAGAAAATGAGAGGTACATGTTTCTTGTATGGAGCTCACAGTTTTGTAAGAAAGATGTCAAACAGAGAACTCCATCAGTCACTTATGCATAAAGGTGAAAACAGCTATGAAAAAGAGAACCAGATAGCATAAGAGAATGTAATAGAAGATGCGAACTTCTTCAGAAATAGGTAAGGATTCTCTGAAATGGTGATAGTTAAGCAATGGGTCAGAAAGAGTCAGCCATTTAAGGATAGGAGAGAGAGATTTTTTTTCTAGTTTCTTCTAGGCCCGTAGTGTATTCTTCCCGAAGCTATTTGGTAACTGGCAATTTTACTTCTGTGCGGAAGTCACTTGCCAGAATACCTAAAAAAAGAAAATATTGTAATTTGAAGATCAAATCAAAGACAAAGGCAAATAAAGCTGTGCCTCAATGGCAGGAGAGATGACTGCAGTGAAACCTCATAGAAAGCGAAAATAACCAAGCAACCCGAGGACCGTGTTCCTTTTCAGATCCATAGGGCGGGGTCCATATGAGTTCTGGAAGAACTACTGCCTTGTGCTCAGGCCGGGTGACATAATGTACACAATGGACACCCTACAAACTCTGCATTTTCGTAGGTGGCAGTCAAAGAAGTACCAATTTGGTTATGTGGAGGAAGTTAAGTGCAAGTCAAAACAAAGACTCATTGGGGTTTTTCTGCCAGAGTAGTTATTTTGAGAACTGGAATGCGGGAGTCAACTCTGTACAGAAAAGTATTGTACCTTTAGATGGCCTCCCAGCAGGTACACTGTCTGTAACAAAAGAAAGTGAATTAAAAACTCACACACTGGAAGAGCGAGGAGGAAAATTCTGACATTTCCAACAAACATGGAATGATAAATAGAGCTGCCTTTATATTTTACACTAATGAAAACAGAAAATATTTTAAATGATTTTTTTTTGAGATCTCAGTTCTCATAACCATAGTTCTTCATAATATTTTAAGATCTTCCATCTCATATGGCTTTGCAATTAAATTTTCAGAAATCTAATTTTTGAAAGTATTAGCACTGACAGTGATCCGATTATGTAGTGGAAAGCTAATGTCTGACTGTACATGTGGATATTCAAATATTTCCTTTTCCTAAAGAAGTTATAGGCTAGCAAGAGTTAGGAATGTGGACCCATTGCACTGAAAAAGATCTGTCCCTTTTTCCTTCTCAGTGACAAGTTAAATGCTTCGGTACAGTATGTCTTGGAAGTGACAGGCATGTTTCCACATAGAGGATCCTTGTACGGCGGGACTGAAATCATTATAACGGGTGCTGGGTTCAGCACAGTACCAACTGAGAATTCTGTCCTCCTAGGTAAGAGCTGCAGTCTCACAAGCCGTATCATTTGTCTCAGCTTACAGATGTGCTGCAGATGCCAAGTTAAAATTACAGTAACTCAACCATCAAAAGTTCATTTTTCTATCACCGTGAAAAAGGTTAAGTGTGTGTGTTTTAGAGGACAAAATAAAAATAACTACTTTTCAGTTTTTAATTTCCCAACAAATTATAATTATGTATTTAATGTGTATAGAAAACCTTAAAGAGAGGCTTTGTGTTGAAAATAATCAGTACTCAAACATACTCACCATCTAAAGCAAAGAGCCAATAGCCTACCATATATTAAAGAACTTTTGCAAGCCTTTGATATTTACTGTTACTTTATCTCGATAGCTCACAAAAACTTGAGAAGAAAAAGCAGTATTTCCTTCTTTATTCTTTCTAGGGTCTTTCCCTTGCAATGTTACATCATCATCAGAAAGCATCATAAAATGTACTCTGTGTTCAACAGGGAATGTGTTCCGAATTACCAACGATGGGGATGACTTAGGTACCACTCACCATTTACATATTATGAATAAGGAAACCTCTTTAGCCTGCAATCAATTTAATTCTTATTTACTTTATACTTCAAATTATTCCATGAATAAGAATTGTTGTTTCTTAGGGGTGGCCAGATAGCTCAGCGGGTTAAAGAGCCTGTTTAGACAGACACAGGGGCCGGAGATTCGATCCTCAGGGCACACTGAGATGGTGGAAGAGACAGGGCATGGTGGCACATGCCTGTAATCACAGACCCCCGTTTTTGGTTTAGTTTTGTCTGAGATGGGTATTCCATTGCCATTTAAATATTGTAGGTGCATGAACTCAGCAAAATAATCCAATCTCTGATAAAACTAAACAAACAAAAAAAAAGGAGATATAAATGAAGGACCATTTTGTATCTGTATATACAAAATAATTAGGCTATATATATAGCTACTTTCCCTTAATTCAATGAGAAGAAAGATTTGTAGTAATAGTGTTTGGACAAGATATCATGTCTGCATCTTGTACTATGAATAACCACTACAAAGACAATATGCAATATATTAATTATTAAAACTGTCTTACTAATCAGGTTTGAAACTGTCCCATTGCTATTTGTTTCTCAATAAAATTAATAAAAAAATAAAATAAAATTTCCCTCCCCCCCCCAAAAAAAAATCCCAGCCCGTGGGAGGCTGAAAACAGGAGGATCACTATGAGTCAGATCTGTATAATCAGACCCTATAGAATCCATATTAAAATACATTTTTAAAAAAGAATAAAAATTGTTGTTTCTTTCTTAACTCTCAGTGGCATCCACTTAACAGGGATCATACATAGCGTGCATTCGTGATAAAACTAAATTTAAAAGGCTGGACTGCATAATCCCCACGCCCTGAAGTTGCTTTTGGCTTGGCTGCAGGGCGGATCCTCCTGATGCATTATAGTTTATAATCAGTCAGAGGTCTTAAATGTACATTCAAGTTGAAATTATATGTATTTTGCTGCTTATATGTTTCATAAATTTCTTTTTCTTTTCTTGTATTTTTAAAAATTTTTATCCTTTTGGCACAGGATCTCAGTATCCAGTTCAGATTCATAGGGATTCTCCTGTCTCAGCCTCCCCAGAGCTGGGATTACAGGCATGTGCCACCATGCCTGGTTTCAGGGTGGCATGGTGCCCTGGGGCCGGAATGGTACGTGGTACCAGGGATTGAACTCAGGACCTTGTGCCTGCCAGGCGGGTGCTTAGACCTCTGAGCTATCTCCCAGCCCCAGAAAACTCTTAAGTATAAAGAATTAATCAGAGCTTTAAGAATATTCCAGGTAACATTTTTGAACAATTTATTGAACAACCACGTTTTTCAAATTGTCTTTGGGTTATCAATGTTGGGGTTGTGTGACATATTTCTTCCTTGTCATGCCATCATATTACTTTGTACTATTCCTATTTATCTCTGTTGAGTACTTCAGCTGTACATATAATAGAGTTTTACCATATTAACTAAACAGTGACTGTATATGAGGTCCTGAGTTCAATTCCTGGTCAAAAAATGGGTGACAGTATAGCAACAGCATGCTTTTAAACTTCATTAAACATTTACTCCTTTATCTTTTTTTCTCTTGAAATATGATTTGATTCTTGCTCTCAGTGCATGGATTAGGCTATGCCTGGTCACCATCCGTCCTGAACGTGTCTGTAGGAGACACAGTGATATGGCAGTGGCGCTCACATCCACTTCTTAGGGGAGTAGGCTATCGGGTGTTCTCTGTCCCCAGTCCCGGAAGTGCGAGTTACAATGGCGAGGGATTTACAAATGGAAGACAGAAATCTCTATCAGGTGTGTTTCCATTTCACTAAATTTTGCACCATGCTTGTTTCTTCTAAATATAATAAAAAGACATTTTGTGTATATTTAGCATCCTTTTAAATGAACAATACAGAAAAATGTACCAAGTAGCTTGAGGAGCATTTTATGGCTGCAGAAAAAAATGTTATAAATGAGTACAAGCAAGCTATTCTCTACACACTGAAATAAATGTTGGTGCTAGAAATATCTTTATTAATTCTGTGATAATTGAAAACTACATTGAAATAGCAAAATACAGTGCGAAGAGGAATATATATGTTATTTGTACCAATCTGGTCGCAAGTGATGAACTTCTGTTGATTGAATCAGCTTTAAACATGTTTATTTCTTGTAGCTTGGTAAAAGTGAGCCTTTTAGATTGTCTATTTCTCTATATAGGTAAAACTCTAAGCATTGCTTTTAAAATATTTTATTTTGGGTTGAGTTATTCTTAAAGTTTGGCTAATTATGTCAAACTTGCTATGATTACCTGAACAAGTGATGCTGGAGCTTGTCCTCCTGGGGTAAATTCACTATACAAAATAGCTCTTTTATAGCCAGAGAGTGATTTCCTTACTACGTCTTACTGAAATATCAAACACATAAAAGATAAGGCACACATGCACTTAAATGATCATTTCAAATGTCTTCAGTTGCCTTTAAAGGATGCATTAATCATTTGTATTTATTGTGTACAATCTTATTTTATGACAGGTTCATTTTCTTACCAGTTTACCTCACCTGGAATCCATTATTATAGCAGTGGCTATGTTGATGAGGCTCACTCCGTTTCCCTCCAAGGAGTCATTAACGTTTTACCAGCTGAAACCAGGCACCTTCCCCTGCACCTGTTTGTGGGTAGCACTGAGGCCACATATGCTCAGGGTAAGATGGTTCAAGATGGAAACTGTCACTGAGGTGGCCCAGGGTTTCCTTGACCTTCCTGCAGTTGGAGTTGAATGACGAGGCATTCCCTGAGGGTGTCTCTCATACCCCATGACCTTGAAAAGGTTTGCCCTTCTCGGAGACTAGAATTTATTCTATGAAATAAGGGTGATGTTAATGTCTTCTTGCCTGCCTCCTGGAATCCTTGTATGCCTCCGATGAGATTTCATGTCAAAGAGTTCTGACATTTTGCATATGCCCAAAATATATTCAAATATTTGGTGATGTTACTTATGTTACACCCATTTATTTCCCCTATGGGAACTGGCCTTGAACAAATTGAAAACTAGTCTTTATTGCCGTTGTCATGCCTAGGACCAGGCTTTCTTTTCATTTAAAAATTTACCAGAATTTAAAAATACCTTTGTCAAAATAGAGTAATGCAGTGTGAAAATAGTTCTTATTTTAGAATATCATCCATGACTTACAGGAATTTCTTTTGTCTAAAGGAGGACCCGAGAACTTGCACTTGGGAAGCCCTGTAGCCAGCTGCCTAGCAACAGAACCCCTGTGTGGTGTGGATGATACCAAGGTTAAACACTCAAATGCATTTCTGTTTGAGCTTTCAAGGTGTGTGTCACCATCTATAAGCAGCATTACTCCATCAGCTGGGACAGTGAATGAACTGATAACAATTACTGGGAGTGGCTTCAGTAATCTCACATGCGCTAATAAGGTAAGAGCACATAGATCGCCTTTGAGATTCCATATACTCAAAAAGGGGGGATACTTTGACCACATCCTCATATTAAGGTTTTACCACCTTTATGAGATGTAATGCACATTCTATACAATTCACCCATTTAAAGTACACACACACACACACACACACACACACTTTTTTCACAGTCTATTCACAGAGTTGTACACCCATCATCACAATTTTAGAATGTTTTCTTGTTTTTTTTGACATCAGTTATTTTTATTTTAAAGAAAAAAATAAAAACAATGGTACAAAAGCTCAAAACAAGATTTTAGAAGAGTAACAATGATTAGTACATTGTGTATTGTTACTGCCAAAGTAGTTTCTCATATTACAAGATATAGGCAAGAAATAATAAATAAACAACATAGGTACAAATCTCTTTTTTTTTAAAGTCAACAGAAAATGGAAATATACTTTTTAAAGTTTCTAATAGTAGGAGAAGATATCATACAATGTCTTTTGAATAAATTGTAAGTCAATGATACAGTATAACTCTTAGAACAAAAATTAAGATTAAGCAATATTCAGAAAATTAAATGTTTCAAAACAATTGAACTCAG